TCTCAATCAATTGTTTCAGTTTAACTGTTTCTTTGCTGAAAGTGAGGGTTCAGTCCCATTGGGCACAGTACATCTAGAAATGACTGCATTTTTAATTAATAAAACGAATACATACATGCCCCTAAAATATTTGGTTTTGTTTTTGAATCAGTGTTGTTTACTAAATTACAGAGAGGAAAAAAAATTCATACTAGCTTATTTTAATGAATAGAATCAGCTACTGACCTAAATAAAAGCCAACCACAAACTATCATTGTTTAACTCAAAATGAATGCACTTTTTTTTTGGTAAAAGAAGCCTAGTTTTGAAACAGTACAGCACTGGCAACTAAAAAAGAGTAAGCGAATGCACAGGTCTAGGACTACAAGGAATATTTAAAAGCTAAAATCTAAGTTATACAGTGTAAAAGATGGAACAGAAAACCTGAGCTACATAAGTGATAGGAGACAAAATAAATTCTCTACATTTCAGAGGCATAATGCAACACGATGACCGAAGTATGGAACCTGGAACAAAAGAAAGATACTGCCACTGTTTACGAATTAGAAATCCTTCATTCAAAAAGCACTTATTGAACACCTTCTATGTGTTAGGTTTACTGACAGTCACTATGGATAAAAAGACAAAAAATAAAAGTCAAGGACCTTCAGGGAGAGGGGCTGGTGCAGAGGAAGGAAGAGAGAGGAGGAAGAAGGGAACAATGGAAACGCCAAGAAGTAGCAATAAGATATACAGAGTAAATACAAAGTAATTTCATAGCGGAAGGCAATAACATCTGGGGGAATCAGAAAAGGTCACTGTTACCAGGTGGGACCTGTGCAATTCTTGGAAGGAAGTTGGGGATTCTATGAGTAAGTGAGAAACAATAGCATTCCAAGGATGGCTACAAAGACACAGGAAGAAGGTGATAGAATATCATGTCTGGGAAACAGCCAGTAGGCAATATACTGGACAGTAGATGAGAAAGTGTGATAGACATTAAGTCTGGAAAGATTGGTCAAAGCTAGATTTTGAAGGGCTTTAAATGTCAGACAGAGGAGTTTCTATTTCATCCAAAAGAACAGAGGGAGCAACAGAAACTTGTGGAGCAGGTGAGTAACATGTAGACGACAGAAGAGAATGTAGGCAAGGAATCCAATTAGAAGAGTACTACAACTTTCCAGGCAAAAGATAATAAGTGCCTGAACTAGAGAGTTGCTTGTTTTGGCAATGAAAAGAGAACTGATATGAGAGACAATATGACTCAAAATTAACTGCACCTTTTTCTTCTTTCCCCACATCTGGAAAATGGTAATATTGCTATTTGTATAATGTCACTATAATGTTTGTGTAATTCATCACCTCCTCTCCATTCCTACATCATTGGTCATTTAATACTATTGTTTCACTCTAATTCTGTTACTGATACTTTGGCTTCCAGATACCCTCTCCCTTATTTCTCTCACCTACCACTTTAACCTCATTAATTTTTCCTGGCTAATTAAGGAACATTGAAAAAAAAAACTGCTCCTGGCTTTCTTTCACTTGCTGCCAGGTTTAAATCATCTACATTTAGTGTGAAGATCTATGCCCCCTCCCCCCCTTCTAAATTCAGTAACGAATTGTCAGCTTATTCCTATTTGTTCTTGCTATCTAGAATAACCTCCAAGTTGCCTTGAACATCATGAATATGATGAGGATCTTAGAGATTACAGAATATTCATAGAATCATGGATTTAGAGCTGCAAAATACTTCAGAAATCATCCAGTCCAACCCACTTGTTCTCATAAGAGGGAACTCTGTCCCAGTAAGGGTTTTTTTGCATAAGATCACACCTGAAGTAAGAAAAAGAGCAAGGATTTGAATTCCCATGATTAAAAATCCAATGATCTTTCCATTGTGCCACATAATAAATTTCATGATTTTTTAGATGAGGAAACAGAGGCCCAGAATGTTAAAGTGACTTGCCCAGGGTCACACAGCTAGATAGTGTCAGAGCTCAGAACTAGAACCCAGATCTCCTTGATTGCTCTGCTTCTTTCCACTACATCATTCTGTCTCTCTCGATTCACTGAAAACTCTTACTTGGCTGCATATTTTCAAACTTACTAAAAAGCTCACTCTGATATTATCAGCCTAGTTCTGCTCAACCATTCCTTTATCTTCCAGCTTTCCTCATAAGAGTGAGTCACAGCCCTAATATCTATTAATTTCCCCCACATGCACACACTTCTAGAGAAAAGTGAATACATGCTTACATAACTTGGGAGTGGCATCCTGATGTTATTAGGTAAGTTTGTCAGCAGTGATAAAGAGTATCTATAATGTTTCATCCACAATCCTCACATTAAAATTGCAGACATACATTTAAAAGGGGGGAGGGGGGAGTGAGTAGCAAAGAGATAAATTGCAGAACTTTTCTTTCATTTACCACAGAAAAGAAATACTTAAAAGAATATGGCCATGGTGGCCATCAACTTCACAGAATGCAAGTACCACCTCATGAAATACTCTCAATTATATTTGGGAGGCTATCTTTTAAGTAAATTAATTCATTCTCCCCTGAAACTTATGCCCCTATCACATTTCTTAACAGGTAGATATAGAGGAAGTCAGATTTTCCTCTGTAATTATTTCAGGTATATGCTTGTGTTGTCTCCCCAACTACTCTGTAAGCTGCTTAAATACTGAGGTTGTCACCCTGGCTCACTGCCCATAGCTCCTAGGATAGTGCTGGGCAAAGAAACACTAGAATACTTATTGGCTAATTTTAAAGTAACGTTACTACATCTGATTTCCAGTGTTGATAAACACTAATATTACCTCCTAAGGCTTTAGGATAACTTTGCAGACAACTAAACTAATCCCATAGGTCTAGATGGAGACAGAAGAATACAGGATTTGAAAAATCCAATAAGTCAATTTTTCAAATTACAAATAAAGATGCAGAGAAATAGAGCCACAGTTTAAGGAATTAAATTCACTGGCTTCTTTTCCTGCGTGTCAAATTAAAACCCTACATAACTCATGAGATACTGAGATAGAACTAATCAAGCGCTTCAATTAGTCTCTTCTTTGACAGTAAAGATACAAAGTCTTTACACAGGATGAAAAAATTAAAAATCACCAATATTAATTACACGCCAGCATAAACTGGCTAATTAAATCTATTTTTAATGTAACAAAGTAAAGGCAATAAAGAACAGTTACAAAAAATAAAATAAGATACCGACTGACCCTAGTTGCAAGCCTTTCATGAGGTAGAGGGAAGAAGCAAAATGTTAACACAACATATAAACTATAGTGATTAATAACACAAGCTAATAACCAGAATGTAAAATGTGATTGTAATCCAAGTTCCAATGGGTGGCTTAATTATAAAACCCTCATTTAGGAGGTGAGGGTGGAGGGTGTATTTTAACTTTCAATCTTAATAAAGTATGATGCAATATTTGAATAGTAAATATGTAAAAATACTGAAGGTATGTTGTAACTTAACATAGACTACAAGAAATATGAGGGAGGAAAAAACTATCAAGTCCAGTGGTTTCACTTTCCACACCAAAGTTCCTCATACTACACATAGAATTAATGTCATTCCAGTTGGGTATTTCCAGACAGTGAATGACTGAAAAAAAAAAAAGTCAAGGAAGAGAGATAAACTTACTTGTCATTAACTACCAGGAAATGCCTGGCACACAAATGATAGAACTACCTGTGAAACTATCAAACTATGAAAAGATGTTTGTATTTCCCTTATACTAGTCAACCTATAGAAATGCAAAATCACCTGCACTAACTGCCCTAAACACAAGAGTTCATGTTGTAGCAGCTGATTCTCAACTTGTCCTTTTTTTACTTGCTTGTAATGATCAACTTTTTTTTCCCCCTGAAGACTACTATTCTTGACCACACAAAACATAACCACTTATGCCAGTTTGATCTTTTCCATCCAGTGAAAATGCTGGGTTTTGTACTAGTCTGTCAACATTCCTCAGGTGTGTAAGCATACAAATGAAGGGAATTTTGATTACCATATCAAATTAATTTTTCTGTGCTCTGAGGCAACTTAAAGTCTTTCTTGTCCTCTTTCCCTTTTGATTTGAGGGAAATCAGTATTTGGACAGTGTCTCTGTGTAAGGCATGATTGGCTCCTCCCTTCTCTGAAAGTGCTTCCTATTGATTTAAATTTTAAGGAGTTTAGCAACATTGACTTCTTGTATAGAGGTTGTTGCATTTTTTTAACCAGATTTACTGCTTGTAAATCTTTGTGATTCTTGAAGAACGGCTATGTAGACGTGCTCCCTTTAATATCACTGTGGTGGAAAGGAAGCAGGTTACAGAACACATTCTCAAGTGTGTAACACTTCATTCACAGCAGATTTTCTCCCAACCAAAAGAACTTAATGCAAATCTATTTTTGCTCCTTGGCATTACTACTTGTGGGAGGAGAGGGGACGCTCAGGAAGGATTCTGTTCTACACAATTTAGACCCTAAAAAAGCCTTTGGTTCTCTTTCATCCTAATTTGCTTCAGAAAGCAACACCCCCCACTTCTCAATATTTAAGTGGCATCCACTGAGGTCAAAGCAGAACTTTAAAGTACACACCAAACTTCCCCCAACTACACAAACTCTTGAGAAAGTTCTGCGACTTCACTGAAATAGAAAGAAGAAAAAAAAAGTTTATTAACTGAGCCCTAAAGAATTGCATTCCCTCTGCTGTTACTCATCCGAAAACTGTAAAATCTTCCCTACCCCAGTTCACTCCTAACTCCCTGGAGAGTAAAATCTGCGAGAGAAAAGATCAGATCCAGTCCAACAAGCACCCTTGAGAACCCAGCAAAGACAAAGACACACACACACACACACACACACACACACACGCACACACACGCACACACACCTCTCTCTTAAGGCTGATCCTCTCGAAACAGAGTAGGGAGCCGGAGACGCTTGTTCCTAATGTCAGGGAAGTGGCTTTGCTTAGCAACTCTAATCAGCTACAACCCGGGTACTTACGAGGCGGAGAGACTGCCTGTCAGTGGGGGAGGCCAGGGAGGGGTTGGCGCAGGAGATCACCCAGGGACAGGCTGATTAAGTGTAATCTGATGCTTCCAGCAAGCCTCTCCCACCGCGGAGTTCCCCACCCCCACCCTAGGCTAATTTCCTCCTCCTTCTCTTCCTCCTTCTCTTCTCCCTCCCCCACCCTCTCCTATTCCTCCCTTGGAAGAACCGGCAGCACTGCTTCGGTCACTTGCCCACTGCCGCGGCGCAGCAGAGCCCTCAGAGAGGGAAACGCGGAAGTCGCAGGGGAGGATTGGGGGGGAGGGATCGAAGAGCCTGAGCTAGCTAGCTGTCCTCCGCCCAATGAACGCGCCGAGACCCGGACACGAGTCCCGCCGGGTGGGGCAGCGCCAGAGCAGATCCAATGGAGCTCTCCTTCCCACCCGGCGCACCCTTGCCTCTCGCGGAGCAGCTACGGTCCTCTCCAGCTCCTGGTCAGAGGTGGAGATGCGCGCCTTCCTTCCCCTGTTAAGCCGTCCAGCCCGGTCTTGCAAGCTGAGAAGGTCTGGCAATCCCTCTTGCATGCCAGGAAGCAAGCCAGCTAGGCCCGGAGTGCGGCCCCCAGATTGCAAAGAGGTGGGAGGAGACTGTTGATTTGGTGCCTCATTATCCCCCCACCCCTCCCCATTAGGGCTTCCCCGGGGCAAAGGAAAAGACACTCTAGGATGCTGGAGACAGCCCCATCGACGCCAGCGAAGATATCCACGAAACTAATAGAGGTGGAAGGAGGCCCCGGTTCGCTTACCTGATTTCTCGCTGCCCACCTCTGGGCTCTAGCCTTCTTGCTTAGCAGCCACCAGTGAGCATGCTTCCCGGACAGCACGAAGCACGTCTACGAGGCAGGAAGAGACCCTGTTGCTCAAGAGCCTCAGCGCCTCTCACCCACCTCATCCCCCAACCAGGGCGCCCTTGGAGGCTTGCCCCCAGCCTCCTAGCACCCGCCTAAATGTCAGCAGTAGGCACGCAGAAAATACCAGGCCAGTGCACCAAGGAGTGAGATTTTGAACAAGGGTATCTTGGGGCCCACCTTAGGGCAGAGGAGGGCGAAGGAAAGAGCCCTGTCACTAAAGCAGCAAGCTTCCTCTTTTGCACCCCTAAAACCTACCTTGCCCACTGAGCATGCCCAGCTCCACTTGTTGGAGCTTCAACAGGGTAGGAAAACAAATGGGAAGTCAGCCACAGGTAGGGTTCAGCTCGGATTCTTTGGCTGTTCTATTTATACACCACCTTTCTTCCCCAAACTTCGAGATGCTGGTCACGTGACTCTAGTAGTAAACAATAGTGGCCACTTTGGGGGAGGGAATAAGAGGATGAGAGAAAAGGATGTGTTGCAGTAGAGCGAGCAAGTCATGGGCTTACAAAAGACTGCAATTCAAATGCTCATCTGAACAAAACCTGCTTGGGAGAGGAGGGGCAATTACCCGGCTAAGATCTTTTATTTTAACTAATATTATTAGATCAGAAGCGGAGACTTGGATTCTACCTTCAAGTTAGGTAAATAGTATTTATCTTAGACAAATCTCTTAACCTCTCCGTGTCTATGGGCAACTCTCTAAAGTTGCATATCTGCATAGTGATTATTCCCACATTGGAATTTCCTATTTTACTTGCCTGGATCCTTCCTTTCAACTACCCATCCCCCATAAGCATGAGGTTTTTTTGTGGGGTTTTTTTCCTCCATTATCATGACAAAAGAGTTTGGACATCCCATTGGAATTAACTGAGATTTGGACTGTAGCTTTAGAAATACTTGTTTCCCTTGTTCCCAGCCAAAGTAATGGAAATTAGAAGAAAACTTTTCAGGAAATAATTCCCTCATCCCTGTCTGAGCAGGTGCTTTTGTTCCCATCATTTCTACAATTTTTCTACCTCTTCATCTGATTCACTTAGGTCCAAATAAATTAATACAGATTATTTTTCCTCGGTAATAACTCATCTCCTTCCATGGAAATCAAAGGGAATGAAACATGGGATGCTGATGCAGAAGGGAAATGAGCTGGAGAGGAGATTGCACCAAAGGAAGAGTCCTTAAACATATAGTACAGAGAACATCTTGGACATGGAAAAATAACTTGGTGGCAGAGGAAATGGAGAGACTTGTTAGAGGTTGGGAAGGGGGGGAAGGGCGGGTAAGGAGTCACTTGAAAGTTTTGAAGAAAAACCAGACTTGGTCAACTCCACAGTTTGCCAAATGCTTCACTAGCAGTGTTACTTTTCCCTTCCCTTAACTGTACAATCATTTATTAACCATCTACTCCGCGCCAGACACTGTGCTAGACATTGGTATACAAAGACAAAAAGAGAAACATTCCCTATCCTCTAGAAACTTACATTCCTACAGATATGAGTATATACAAAGTAAATACAAGGTAATTTGTGGGGAGACACACTAGCAGCTCAGGGAAATTAAGGAGAGCCTCCAGTTGAAGATGGCACATAAATTGAACTTTGAATGGGATTAGAAATTTAAAAAGGTAGAGGTTGAGGAGGCAGTTCATTCTTGGAATGAATGCCTTGGGAGACAGAGTCAAATGCAAATTTAACTGGTCAATAATCCCAACAAATTACCTTATTGTTTAACAACAATGGAGTGGAAATAGTTGTACTAAAATTTTAACCCCATTTATTAGACAGAAACAGTGTTGCCGGTTTGTTTTCTGAATGTCTACTTTTAAGTCACATCTGATCAAATCATGAGTGATTGGGTACAGAAATCATTTTTAAATAGACTAATCTAGAAATTTTTGAATGAGTTTTGCTAAAATTTGCAAAATCAAAAGGCCATCAATAACGCTTTCCAAAAAGAATAAAATGCAAAAATGAGTCCTTGTAGTCTAATCAAAATAGATTCCACTTTAAAACTTTTTAATCTACATAATTCAAGGAAAAGAAAAAGAGGGCCTTAAAGTAGCATACAGTTTTATATTATGAGCTGAATGTTTATGTGACTAACCAGAGAAAATTCCTCTGAATTGTTGTTCTTGAAATTTGGGATATTTGCCAGGAGCAGAATGTCTTGATCTCTCTAACTTGAGTGATCTGGAGGTGTAAATTGTGTTAAGAAACAGCCTTTGTCATATCCCCACAGGTAATTTCTTTTCATTAGCAGGGGAATGCTGAGAAAAAGATTATCATCAATTCAGGACCTGCCTTCCAGAGTTAAGTATACTACATTAGCACAATAAGCTTTCAGAAATCTCTTCATACATGTAAAATCTTCAGGTACTAGGTTTTCTTTTTTATTAATATATTGCTATTAAGGAAAAACTGAATAAGGAGCAATGGAAGGGCATTGGGAATCTTGATGAACAGAGTCAAAAGCATGAGGGAAATATCTCAAAAGAAAGCAAATTCATTGGCAAAGGAAAAAAATAAGTAATTTTAACATTATTTCCCTGTGATCATAAGTATGATTTAGCTTTTGGAATGAAAATATGTTTATTTCCAGACACAGAACATCAAATGATATTTTCAGACATCTAGTTGTTTTTGTTTGTTTCTTTTCCCTGTTACACAAAGAGAAAACTTAAAGGTAGGTATAGATTCTGAGTTCCACATGACAAAAACTTGTAAAATCTCAGAGATTACATTCCTTTTTCTTGCCCTCCTAATCTATTCAGAGCCTAAATTTATTTGCTTTTAAGGGACCTGCATATTGCATGATCTTTTCAGATGACTGTGAACCCTATTAAAGCACTGATCAGGAAAGATTCCCTAATCACTCTGATGAAGTCACTGGGACATGAGCCTTTGTTTGAGACTTTGCTTTTATCTCCTAATAGAGGATATGGTTATACCCATTGATAGCCTTACTGAGAGAACTGGAAGCATCTACTGGGACATGCCCTGTGTTAGGTCGTGGATTCCCTTCAAAGAGATTCTTTTTTCCCTAAAAGGCAACATGCTGTCTATAGGACCTGATTGGCCCCTGCCTCCCTTGACACAGCTTCCTGGTGACCTAAGGCATAAAATGTCCCGCCCATGTGGATGCCTGAAGATAGATCAAGTCACCATACACCACTGGTGACCACATGAGTTTCCATACAGAGACAAGGAAAACCTCATCTAGAGTAACTAAATGCCACTTTATTGTTGTTGCATAGCCCTACTATGTTAGGGCATTGTAAAACTTCTTTTGTTAACTATTCAATGACTCACAAGTACCTCATTTTGTCCCAAGGTTGGATGTGAACTAACTGGGTACTGACTGTTAAACTCATCCTTAAACAACCCATTAATTCCTCATTAAGGATAAGTGAGTGGGGCTGATTTAATTGTCTCGGGCTGTTATGGGTAGAAGTCATCTCTTTGTGGTTGTCCTGTGAAAGGTTATAACTACATTAGAAGGCTGTACATAAAATCACAGAATTTTAGAACTTGGAAAAATCATAAACATCATCTCGTCCATAATTCTTCATTTCAACAGACAGGAAAACTGAGGCCCAGAGAAGGAAAGTGACTTATCCAAAATTATATGACTCATTAAAAGCAGAGTAAAAATCAAAATCCCAGTCTCTTGATGTTTTTTTTGTTCAGTGTTTTTTTTAACCCCATTACACTATGCTATCTCAATGAAGTCTTTGCTCTTAAGTAATTTTGACGTAGATTAATCTTTATCTTAATCTCTGCTTAAATTCTTTCACCTGTCTTTTGGTGCCATTGAAAACATATGCGCAGTCTAGGGAGTTCAGAGCAATATGTATTTGCAATCTCACCCCTTCTAGATGAGAATTTTAAGTGTTAAAAAGCTTGCAAGAAATTGAAAAAAGGAGAGATTATACATATAAATATTGCTTTCAGCAGACAAGATAGTGAATATAAGCATCTAAAATATAAGCATCTGTTATACAAAGAAATTCTTCTGTATATACCAAAAGACAAAGACAAAGCAGGACTCTTGGGCCATTCACAAAAAAAAAAACTACTCTAGAGTTCCGCTACCCACACCATTATCACTTTAAAGATGGTTTCTCTAACCTAGTCAAAATGGGGTTCCTTGGCAGTAACCTAGGAAGAATAAAAGAGAAGAACTCTCTAAGGTAACTATTTTCATCCAAAGTGTTACGATGAAGAGCTAGTTGGGAAAAAAAAAGTTATTTTCATTTAAAGGATGTTTGCAAAAATTAAAGGAGAAAAAATTTTAAATTCAAAACATTTAAGTGAGAGCTTAAAGTTTGGTTGTGGTTTTGTTTTGCTTTTTGGTTACAACCTGGGATTTCACTGGCATAGGGAGTATTCAGTGAGGCTATTCCTTCCAGTACAGATCAGCAACTCCTTTGAAATTTATAGTCATGGCTTCGTGGGCAACAAGAGGTTAAGTGATTTCTCCAGGGTCCAACAGCCAGTATGTTCAAGTTAGGATGGGAGCCCAGGTCTTTTACATTTTTTTTAATTAAAAGAATGCAGAAAAACATGAGTGTGATTTTTTCAAAGAATTTAATGAAGAGACTTAGGTTAATCAACTTCTTGAGGACATGATCACATATACCCCTCACTTTAGAGTCCATATGGTGCCTGTAACAGAGGCATGTACACAACTGAGTCTTGAAAAAGACTTTAAAAATAATATTAATGATGTAAAATGAGAATAAGACTGCTCCTAGAACACAGCCTTTGTTGCTTTCAACATAGTACTTAAGAATACTGTTATTCCCTAAACATTTAAAGAAATGAAGACAAATAAGGCCAAAGTAACAATGGTAGAGAAGTGGAAACATGCTTCCTGAGACATGGATCCTGAGGAACCCCAGAATTAAGCCAATTATTACCTCAGTGATTGAGGTGATGCTATCCAGAGTAGTTAAATCATCTTAAGTTACTTTGGATTCCTATACTTTTGTATACCAATCGTATCAGATTTTTTTTTCATCTTCATAACAAATGTCTCTGGCCAATGTTTACATTTTTATCATGTGTTAAGAGCAAATTCATCCAAACAGTAAAAATAAAATCGTAATCATGGGTGATACTGGTCCTAATTTATTATTGGTTTTAAAATGAGGGCATTTTGTTTCCTTTTGTCCATCTTGCCAAATCCTGCCATAACAGATGTCCATCCTCTTTGAGAGCATTTTGGCCCCCAAAGAGAGTCCCCTTCTTTTTTCTATCAGAAACATAATTCATTCTGAATCCATTTTACATGAACTATGTCTCTCCCCACACTTAGCACGGTGTGCAACTGTAGGAACTTAATGAATGTTGAATTTTGAATAGAAATGAAGGGGAAACAATATTAGGCTTTAAACCTGTCCTCCTTGGATTACAAACTGAAGTTCATACTTGGAATAGCTCAGCGGGGGTATAAAACAAAATGACAGACTGGTTCATTGTTATGTCCTCCAAGGGAATTTTTTTTTATTATTTAATGGAAACTTTATTAGTTTAGAGTCTTCAAGGCTGCATTGTAAAATAAACCAACCCCTCTTTCCCTCTGGCCTCATTCCTTAACTGTGGCCAAGTTTCTGATAACTGAGACAACCTAACATGTGACTAGGAAACAGCCAGATGGCTTCCTAAGGCCTAAAAATAATTTTAAAATGGTAAATTTAGAATAATGTGTGTTAGGAATTCCACCTATAAAACTATGGTGTCATCTGGAGGAGGGCTTCTGAGAATGCCCCCAGCTTATGAGAACTTGGAAAAACTAGGTACATCCTATCCAATATACTATTCATCAAAGATAAAATCAGAAGGGGTTCAGAGATTTCACTCAGGAAGATCCTTGTCAGTAGACTCTGAGTAGATCAGTTATTCAGAAAAGATTGATCTTTACTGGACCCATAACCCAATCTTCATCTTACTCCCCTGGGGCGAAAGATTCTTATAGTTCCTTGATACCACCACCACTGCAATCCTCACTAACATATTGATGAAAGGCATGGCTAATTATACTAAGCTGATTGGAAAGAGGCAATACTAAAAGAGATAATCACCTAGGAAGTGATTTTAGTACCTAGTTTCAGACTTTTCCCTAAATCAATATGTTATGAAAACTATATTCATGGTGAGAATTCCCCCAACAAACTACCCTACAGCCCACATAAATTCTATTTATTTATTTAGCCATTGCAAACACTTCTGCCTTAAATACTAATTTAAGGTGGAGTCTGGATTAATAACATCTGAAAAGGCAAATCATGAATTAGCTCAGAGAGAAGGACTCATAGCAAATGAAGAACAAATAAAGGATATTATTAGAAATTATTTTTTGAATTATATACCAACAAAATCAATAACAAATAAAGTACATAGTTATAGAAATATACAATACCCATATTAACAGAATAAGAAATATAGACATTAAAAAGCACAATCTAAGAAAAAATTGAATAAGTCATAAATGAATTCCCAAGGGAAAAATATAGCACTAGATCTATTTACAAGTAAAATCTTTCAAACATTCAAAGAGCAATTCTGAAATTATATAAACTGTGTTCTAAACTTGAAAAAAGAAGAGTCCTTCTATCATACAAATATGATCTTGATATCTAAACCAGGGAAAGAGAAATCAGAGAAAGAAAACTATATATCAATAAAGGCTGCAATAACATATTAAAAAGATTATACTTTGACATCAAATTTTATTTCTACCAGGAATTCAAGATTGATTCACTATTAGGAAAACTAAAAAAATAATGAATTATAAGAATAACAAAATGGTAAGAATCATATGATTTTACCAATAGATGCAAAAATGGATTCTGACAAAATATGACATAATTTCTGTTCTTTATAAAATATAAGAATAAATAGCTTTTCCTTAATATGGCAAATAGTATCTATCTAAAGCCAAGAGCCAGTATTATATATAATAGAAATAAGCAAAAGGTTTTCAAATAAGATCAGAGGTAAAGCAAGGATTCCCATTGTTATCACTATTGTTTGATGTAGTGCTAGAAATGCTAGCCCATAACAATAAGACAATAATTGGAGGAATAAGCATAGGCAAAAAAAATTATTAATTTTTTCAGATAACATGATATTCTTCTTAGAGACCCAACTAAAAATCAGTTGAAATAATAACTTCATAAAGATGGCAGGATATAAAATTATCAGCTTTTCTGATAATCTGATAATTCTGATTTTACAAAAAAAAAGGCAGGAAAAGAGAAAATAAGAAATTCCATTTTTAAAAAAAAAGCTACAGAAACTATAAAAAATTTGTGAGGTCATCTACCAAGACACACACAAGAACTAAGTGAATACAACTACTAAATGTTCTTTACAGAAATAAAGACCATAATATTTGGTAAAAGATTAATTGTTTATGATTGGACCACAACAATCCAATAAAAAAGAAATACTAGCTAAATTATTACACATATTTGGAAGGGTACCACTCAAACTACCAAAGTATTTCTTCATAAAGATAGAAAACAAAATTTTTCTGATGGGACAAAAGATCAGGAATCTCATTGGAAATAATGGAAGGAAATAAGAATAAAGGGGCTTAGCAGAACCAGGTCTGAAACTATACTGCATTCTAGTAATCAGAAAAATGATTTGGTACTGGTTTAACAAAATAGAAAAGTCCACCCATAGAACAGATTAATTATAAAACACACCAAAGAAAATGAATAGATCAACCTAACGATCTCAAGGATTAGAATAAAGACTCATCATTCAATAAAAACTGGAAACCAGTCCCCCTGAAATTAGATTTAGATTTAGACCAACACCTTTACATAAGCTCCAAATTCATACAAGACCTAGATATAAAATGTTATATCTTATGACAAATCAAAGTAAAAAGGAAGATGATGCATTTCACAGCTATGGAAAGGGAAAGCATTCATAACCATATAAGGGAGAGAATAGCAGAAGATAAAATGGACCATTTTGATTACTTAAAATTGAAAAGCTTCTGTACAAACAAAATAAATACAGTTACAATTAGAAGTAAAAAAAAGTTAAATGGGAAAAATTCTTTGCATTGAGTTTCTCTGATATATTAAGAATTGATTCAAATATATAAGAATAAGATCAATTCCCCAGGGAATCAATGGTCAAAGGATATGAACAAGCAGTTCTCAAAGGAAAGAATCAAAATTGTCAACAACCATGTGAAAAAAGAAATGCTCCAAATCACTAATAATGACAGAAAAACAAATTAAAACAAATCTACCTCAGAGCTATTGTACTGCTAAAGATAATTAAAAAAAAAAAAGGAAAATGTCCGTTGTTAGTTTGGATGAGAGAGGACAGACACACTAATGAATTGTTGGTGGAACTGTGAATTGGTCTAGTTATTCTAGAGAGTAGTTCAGAACTAGACCCAAAAAATCACTAGCTGTGCATTCCTCTCAACCCAAGGATACCATGATTAGGCCTGTACCCCAAAGAAATCAAGGAAAGAGGTAAAGAAGCTAAGTATAAAAACATTTCACAGAAGAGGGCCAGTGCTTATTAGCACCATAACTACATCACTAGACTTGGAATCAGCAGCAGCCCTAGTTCTGTCATTTGCAATCTATGGGACTAGTAAGTAAGAATTCAGCTAAATCATTTCATCTCTCTGAGCCTCAGCTTCCTCCTTTATAAAATGAGGATAATAATATCAGCATTGATAACTTCAAAGGGGTAGGGATGGGGGGGAAGAGTTTTTGTACAATGCAAAGTCAGGAAAATGTGAGCAATTACTCTTGCTAATCTAAAAGAGCTCCTATATTTCTCAGTATTCCATTACTTAGGGAAAAGTCTCCCCCAAACCTTAAAATGATATTTCTTTTCTATTGCAGATTTTATTGATATCTTCTGTTTTTATATCACTTAGACTTCCTTCCTATGTCCTTCCCCATTTCCCTTTCCCAGACAACCATCTCTTATGACAAAGATATTTTTTTAAAAAAAGAGGAAAAAGAGAAAAATCCAGCAAAGTGGAATAACAACAATAACAATAGTTAGCATTTATATAACTAAAGCACTTACTATGTTCCAGATATTGTGCTAAGTGCTTTACAATTATTACATCATTTGACTCTTAACAACAACCTGGGGAGGTAGGTGCTATTATTATCCCCATTTTACAAAAAGGAAAATTGAGGCAGAGATTAAGTGACTTGTTCAGAGTCACAAAGCTAGTAAGGGCCTAAGGCAGATTTGAACTAACACCTTCCTGAGTCCAAGCCCAACACCATATCCACTGTGCTACCTAGCTTTCCCTCAACTTTTCCAGTGCTTCCGTGTATTCATCCTGTTTGTTGTTTCTTATAACAGTGATAATCCATTACATTCATGGACTACATTTTGTTTAACCATTCTCCAATTAATGGGCACTTATTTCCAGTTCTTTGATCTCACTAAAAGTGCTGCTATAAATATTTTGAATACTGTTTCAGTAGTCAACCTTTTGCTCAAGCAGTGCTCTCACTCAAATGTTTTTTCTATTCTCTCAAAGCAACAGTCTCTTCATGCCCCAGATCATATAAACAAGTCAGTAGCAAGAAAGGTACTAGTCTTAATCAGAATAACAGCAACCCAAGTCCCAAGTCTGGTAATTCTTAGCTGAATTCCTCTGGCCCA